CAAATACAGTGTTACGTGAGATGCACACACAGTCAAACACCGGTGTTACGTGAGACGCAGACACAGTCAAATACGGTGTTACGTGAGACGCACACACAGTCAAATACGGTGTTACGTGAGACGCACACACAGTCAAATACGGTGTTACGTGAGACACACACATAGTCAAACACCGGTGTTACGTGACACACACACAAACACCGGTGTTACGTGAGACGCACACACAGTCAAATACGGTGTTACGTGAGACGCACACACAGTCAAATACGGTGTTACGTGAGACGCACACACAGTCAAACACCGGTGTTACGTGAGAAGCACACACAGTCGCACCGGAAACTTCCTCCTTGTCATCCTGTCTTCCTTCTCGTGTGCACCTGATCCTGATCCTGGCGTTCCGCCCCCTGGGGCTTTCAGGCTCCCTTCCACCTCCTTCCCCACTACCCACCGAACCCGGTTCCACCGACGAGCCTTCATCCCTCCCCCGAATTGGGCCCTTATCAGAGCCTGAAACACTGGGGCCTCACCCTTTCTGAGAAAACCTATGCTGTTAAACGGTCTTCCTACCTCCCCTTTCTTTTCACCACTCGGCATCTCCAAGAGCGCAGGCCCGCTCAGACCCAGCAGGCCCCTGTGCCCTGTCTCCCAGTCCCATGAGGCCCTGACCTGGGATCAGACCTGAGCCTTTTTCAGTTCTGATGCCCCTGCCTTTGCCTACTGTCGAGTCCAAGGGCTTTACTGATGTCCCAGGTCTTCTCTTAACACATCAAAACGAAATGAGAATGTCAGAAAATAAATATGGACAGCAACTCTGAGAAGCATTAGATAGTGATCAAAAGTGGGCAAAGTTTTGCGGAGTGTTAGGATATGCTTTCGACCTAAAGTTAGGGGAGACTCTGTGCACGACGTCACCTCCAGCATATACACTTAAAGGCCAGGAGGAAATAAGGGTGGTTATTTCTGGGTAGTAGGAAATAGGCAATTTCTGTTTCTCCTTCACTATTTTGTACATTTGGCGAGCCTGGCAAGCTGGCGGGACCCCACGGCCAGCTCTCAGGTCTGCCCCCTGCTGGCGGCCCCCAGCAGCGAGCGGGGGAATCACATCCCACGTTCGCCCCTCTGAATCCTGAGCTCTCTTCATGGAGTTCTCCGTTTTTTGGCCTGACTTGTGTAATTTCTTTTCCGTTTTTAGAGCTCCTTTTTATTTTGTCTTGTGAATATTTTCTTGCATATTTTTTCCCAGGAATATACGTTAGGCTGTAGCTATTTTCAAATGATTGCAATTCTTACTTATTTCTATCTCCTTCCAGAAGCTTCTGCCCCAGTCGGTCTTAGGAACAGACCCTCACTGTGCGTCGGGGCGCTTGCAGGACCAGCCAAACAGCCCTTGTGGAGGTGGGCGGGGAAACACGTCAGCGGTCAGCGCCCCAGTCACCTTAGTGAGAGCTCTGGGACAGCCGTGCAGGGGGACGGCGTCGAGGAGGGCGGGCCTGGGGCGCGGAGGGCACAGTCTGGAGGCCGACACCACCATGGTCTGGAGGATGGCTGGAGGGCTGGAACCCAAGAGTCATAGATTCCCAGCTTGCAGCTTGAGAGACCGTGAACTGTAGGGACATGAACGTGGCGGCCAACCGGGTACATATGTAAGCAGCTTACAGAGAAAGTCAGTTTGGGGTAAACTGAGTGTGGGATGGCCTAGAATGGGCCAGGTTACAGGGGTGCAGCGTCCCCTGTGGGGGGTGGGATCCAGAACAGACGAGATGGCCGAGGAGCACACGCGGAGCGAGCTGACACAAGCGGGGGGCGGGGGGGCACACCAGCTTTTCAGGACAGGCCCTAAAACAGGTGCTCACGACGGACACAGAGACAGACAAGTCAGAAACACCCAGGCGTGTGTTATCAGCCGTGATGGGGAACGGGCTTCCAGAAGGCAGGGGGGATTCGGACCAACAGTCACACCACTGAAGTGAAAGGATCAGTAACACGAGGGCTACACATACACGGCTCAATCTGTCAGCTGGCAAGGCCCTGGTTTCCCTGCAGTGCAGCAGTGAGGGGCTGACCTCTGTGAGTTGGGGGGGCTGGCTGCAGAAGTCTGGGAGAGAAAGGGTGCCTGACATGGAGTCGTAATGAGGGGGACGCAGAGAGACCGTGCGGGTAAGGCACTCAGCACCGCGTCCAGGACACGGTACGTGTCCACGAACCGCGAATCACCATTCACTCATCGACCACGTAATAATTTAAACCCCGCTTCGTGTCAGGCACTGTCTGGGTCGTGCAGACAGCAAGTGAACAAGGGAGACAAAGTCCCGCCCCAGAGCTCATGCTCCAGTCGGGAGACATACAGGACTCACAATGTGTGGCGTATCAGGGGATGGTAAGTGCTAACAAGGAGAAAGCAAAAAAGGGACAGGAGGCCTGAAATGCTGGAGGAGGGGATGCAGTTTTAGATTGGGTGGCCTGGTGGGGCCTCCCTGGAAGGTGACTCAAGCACCCATGATTAGGAAGTGAGGGCATGACTCACTCCTAGCGCAGTGACCCCAGGGGCAGACTGTTCCTGGACTGTCTGCCGCCTTTGCCACAATTAACACCACTGGCGTCCACACTGTGGTCCCTGGTCCTCAAGAAGCTTCAGCAGCCACAGTCTACACCACAGAACGGAGTCGGGAATGCACAGGGAGCAAAAGCACGGCCTCATGCACCACAGTCACCACTGGTTTGTGGGGCAGATGTGCAGCTGGACATGTGCAGGTACCCCTCGTGGAGCCGCTGCAATCAGAAGCTGCATCGCGTGTGTGTACAGGGAAGGCGGCTGGCGCCATACCCACCCTTCTGTCCCCCCGCAGGTAACAGGACCATCTTCAGACCCAAAGGGCAGCGACACAGGGGGGATCTCAGAAGTAGCAGGAACTGAAGCTCGAACCAGTGCAGATCACACGGGGTGCCACTTAGAGGTCACGAGACAGATGATACCAGCAGGTGTTGGCTGTCGGACTAGGAACCAGCCCGTGCCATCTGGGATGACGAAGAACTGGAAAGTCTCGCTCCTTCCCTGGCCCAGCACGATGCTCAGCCTGGACGGATGTCCAGTATGTCCTTACTGGGTCACGACCAGCAGGAGGATCAAGTATGGCTTGTGACGGATGCGTGTGATTTCCTAAGAATGACCTGGACTAATTATTCTTTGTGACCCAGAGAAAATGATCTTCATCACCTCCCCTCAAAAGTAAAAAGGAAAAGAATCCAAATGCCTGAGGATGCAGGCTCCCTTCAATCTATTTAAACTGCTACAGAATTTTTGGAGTTACGATGTCAAGAGTCTTCAACACTCGCAGGCTCCAGTGGGCAGGGATTCGGGACAGGAGATAGGGCGGGTGTTTTAAGAACAAACTCCATTCTTTGACTGAGGCAGTAGAAAAGTTTGGAAAATATCTTAGCTGCATTTTTAGGTGTATTTATTATCTGAAGAAAGCCAACACAGAACCATCAAGTAAAAATAACCTCAAGATTAAAGCATTATGGCTTAACTAGCAGAGCTTAGAATGTACAAATATTGCCATTATTTTCTCTCAAATATCTGTGTAGGCATCTCCTTCCTGGCTACAAAACCAAAGTGAAACCATTGTAATGACCAAGAAGAAGCGAGGAAGGAAGGAAGTGGCAGGCTGGTTATGTTTACGGCTCTTGGACCGTTAAAATCATTGTCATAACATCCCTCATAACATTGCTCATAAAACATCTGACATATTTACGTGAACACGTACTCTGGGTTACATTCACGTGGGTCACGTGCTTCTCTAAGGGCTCCAGACACTGGCTTCATGAACATCCCCTAATTCCACTTGAAGGGCAGAAAAAGCAGAATCCAGGTCCTGGAAAGACTCCACGTGTAGGTCACAGGGCTCGGGAGCCGGCGTCCTCACGGCCCTCTGGCTGGGGACCCCAACGACGGCAGCAGCAGGACGTGGTCACCGTACCTGTCCTTGCTCAGAAGCACCCTCAGGACTCGGGGTGGCGGTCAAAGCACTGAAGGATGTCTGCGCTGCGAGCGAGCTGCTGAGCCAGGGTGCCCGAGACGTCCGGGGAGTCGCTCAGCCCGGACCGCAGGAGGAGCTCGACACAGGCCGTGTGCTGGCCGGCGCAGGCCAGGTGCAGGGCTGCGAGGAGACAGAAGCAACACGGACTTGAAGCAGGATGCTGCAGCGATGCCCATCTGGTGAGCAGCTACAACCCAAAACAAAACTCCTCCCACTACGCAGATTTTATATTTCCACGATTCCTCTCTGTGCCCTTGCCTCTGTGGGATCAGAGCATTTTCCCTTTTAACCTAATGGGCTTGGAAATGGTTTTAAAAACATCAACCAATTAGAGAATATAAGAGATTTTTGTCTAAAGCCACGAAGCAAGTTCACGAACAGGCGACTTTAAATGGCACAGAAACCATTTTAAAAGTTTTGTGAATTCTCCGTGTCAGTAAAAATATCGCCACGAATAAGAAGGACGTGATGAACAGAAAAATGGACACATCCTCCCCTTTGAGAACTAGTGCTCAAGGTTCCTAGTGCTGTGAGCCCTAGAACCCTGCATTCTGCAGACAAAGTCTTGTGTCCCTGGACTTAGTGATGGTCCTGTGCAGCCTCGGAGGGAGCTTCTAAGCATCAGAGAGAGGCTTGCCAGGCGGCCGTGGTACACAGAATGTTCACAGGAGAGCTTATTCTAACCTGAGTCTAAAGAATTAGCTCTCGGGGCACCTGGGTGGCTCAGTCGGTTAAGCATCTGCCTTCAGCTCAGGTCATGGTCCCAGGGTCCTGGGATCGAGCCCCGCATCGGGCTCCCTGCTCAGCGGGGAGCCCGATTCCAATTCTCTCTCTCCCTCTGCGTCCCCCCCCAAAATAAATAAATAAATCTTAGAAAAAAATTATAGTGATTCTAGTTTTCAAATGCACTCCAAAGAGAGACGACCTAGGGAGACTCTAACTGGAGGCGGCCCGCAGCATGGTGGATTTAGCACGTGTTCCCAGGAGCACACAGCGCCGTGCTGCGAAGTAGTCAGAACCGCAGGGACCAGTGGCAGGCCCCGCCACTGCCGTGGGAACAGACATTGCCAGAGCTTTGCAAATATGTTGTTTCAAAGAAGGGTTGCTGAGCTACTACTACAGGAGTAGTCTAAAACCAGTGTTTTTAACATCAAAGTCCATGTATCGTTTACATCGATTACTAGTCATTCCCCAGGCAAGAGGGACTCGAAGCCATACCTGATCGGTTTCTTTCATCTTTGGAATTGATGTCGGCACCCAAGGACAGGAGCACCCGGACTGTGCTCACGTGTCCTTCCTGAGGGTTGAAATACGCTTGGAAATAAGCCTTTAAACACAAACTAACACATGTTAGGTACTTTTTCTAAAAGACTCAGCGGCTAAAATGGAATTTTCACATCTAGAGGGAGACTCACACAGTTCTCAGGTAGGAGTGTAAGCTGTCAAATCCAGATTTTGGTGACATTTCATTATTAAAATACAGAGGATCTACTCTGTAGGCCAAATTACTGACTACCGCTGTCGGAAGCATATATCCTGATTCACACAGAACATGTGCTTCCAGAATCTCTCCCAGCAAACATGCTCTTTGCTGGAATTTCAGAGCGAAGATAAACAGGGAGTCCGTGACCTGTCCTGGACGTTTGTCACAGTGCGCATCACAGCACGTGTCACCGATTACAAGCACCTGACAGGACTCCTGTCCAGCTGGCCAGGCCGCGCGGACCCAGGGAGACAGGGAATCATGGCTGCAAGTCCCATCCATCCCCTCCGCAGCCTCCGCCAGGCTCGGGGCACCCTCATCTCTCCACTGCCTTCCTGGGGGACAGGAGAGTGCCGTTCACAGGGAAATAATTATACCTGCTGCTGCTGGAAAAGCCAGTTGGGGCAGCTAGCCAGTGAGGCTGAAGATAACCCGCAAAACATGCCTAACACTTGAGACTGGGCGTGTAAGCAATGAGCCTCCGCTGCAGAAATGTTCCCTTCTGGAATCTAGTGTAAGGACAGAGCAGCAGGACTTCACACGGGGGATCCTTAGGGCTGCAAAGGACATTATTTCTGAAAACGGAACAAGAGCGGGTGCGAACGAAAGCCTGGACATGAGACGGAGGGAAGGCTTTCCCGGAGAGACAAACCTTAGCGGCGAAATGCAGTGGCGTCAGGAGGCTGGGTGCTGTCCTGGCGTCCACGTCGGCGCCCAGCTCGGACACCAGGAAGCGGAGGGCCTCGTCCTGCCCAGTGACGGCCGCCCTGTGGATGGCCTGTGCCCCCAGGGCGTCCCGCGCCACCCAGCAAGCCTGGCGGGCGAGGGAGGGGAGGCCACACGTGAGGAGCAGGGACCTCCTGGCGGATCCCCAAGGCCTCTCTGGACAAACACAGGCCAGACCCCACGCTCTGGCCCCCGGCGCCCTCGGCGGGCAGCCTGCGCTCACTCCTGTGGTCCAGCCGCTTCCGGGATCCCCCTCCTCCTCTCACTGCTCCCTGCTCATCTCACACGGGAGCCTCGCAGGGGCCCCAGACGAGGGCGTCTGCCTCCCGCTCGCCAACCGTGACGCTGAGCCCACATCGGAGGCGCTCCCTGGTCTGAGACTCGTGGGAAGACCCGTTTCTATACCTTGTGCTGTTCGAGCAGCAGCTGGGCCACATCGATGTGGCCGCACTGAACTGCGTCCATGAAGGGTGTGCAGCCACAGCTGTCTGCGCAGTCGGCTCCATAGTGGCACCTGCCGCCCGAACCCAGAGCGGCAGGTCAGACAGGGGTCCCTGCCGCACGCACGCACGCACGCACGCACGCACGCGCACGCACGCGCACGCACGCACTGCGGAGACCGGAGCGCGGTCCCTGTCTCCCAAACTCGGCCCCTCCTCGGACCTCCTCACCCCGTTTCCAGGCATCGTCTTCCCCTCATGACCAGCCTGTTACCAAAGTCTCAGTTCGGGGTCCACTTCTCCCGCCGCGGCTCCTGCCTCGCTAACCATTCTCACAGCCACCGGACCACCCTGGGTATGGCCACTCCTGCTTGACACCTTTACCTCCCAACCACAGGGGAAAATCTAAATCCTCATGACCCTGGGGTCAGGATACTGTGGCATCTACTCATCTCCCCAGGCTCCTCGGGGCCACCCGCGTCCTTCCTGACCCTCGTCCTCCTCCCACCTGCTTCCCAGTCCTGCTTTCCCCAACTGTCCTCCCTTCATCTCCACCCTGCCTTTGCCTTTTCCTACCTACTCTGCTGTCCTTTCTCTTAATTCAGCCTCCAGTGTGACCTTCCATTCCTGCCTTCTTCAGTTACCTGACCTACGTCTCCCCGGCCCTCCTCTCAGTCCCGACTCCAAACGGACCTACCTTCTCGACGATCCTATCTGTCCGTTCTTCTTGGTCCTGCCTCCTACCCGACCGACCTCCTTCCGTTCCTACCTCTCTTCTCTGTTCTCACCTTCAGGGGCCTCTCTGTCCTACCCTCTTCTTGCTCATTATCTTCTCCTCCGGTTGCCCAGCTCTTTGCTGCCTCTGCATTTGCTGAGCCCCTCTGCTTGGAACACCGGTTCCCCCTCCTTCACTGCAGCTTCCAGCTTCCATATGACCTCACAGAGGCCCCTCTTCTCTCCTCCATCCACAGGAGGACCTGTGCTCCCTCATGGCACTGCAGTAAGTCCTGGTCTCTTCTCACTATTCAGTATCTGCTCTGGTAATCCCTTCCACTCTCATGAATTCAGTCATTGTTTCTATGTCGATTATGCCCACATTTGTTTCTCAGCTCACACCCCTCCTGCGGGTTTCAGATCTGTGTCTGTAGCTGGCCACTCGACACCTCTGCTTGGGTGCCTCACAGATGCATGCAACTCAATGTGTCCAAAAGTGAAATTATCATCTTCCCGGCAAACCTGCTCCTCCTCCAGGGCTCTCTGTCCCAGGAAATGGCACCAGCACCATCACCAGTTGCTCAGCGAGAAACCTGTCATCCTTGACGTCTCCTCCCTCATTCCCTTGATCAAATTTTTCACCTGGATCTATTGATCCCACTTCTTAAGTATCTCCATGTCTTTCTCTTCACCTCTACAGTCAGGGTCTTAGTGCAGCTACCATTATTTCTCTTCTGTTGAACTGCAACGGCCTCCCAACATTCATGGCCCCCACTCCTGCTTCCCCCCAATCCATTCTCTATTTTCCAACCAGAGGATCTCTGAAAAATGCAAATTTCTTATTACTGTCCACCCGGCACACTGCTTAAAACCCTTCAGTGGCATCGCATACACTTAGAATAAAATCTGAAGTCCTCAAATAGTCCTATGTCCTCCCTAAGTCTGGCCTTCCTCATGGTGCACTATTCTCCCTGTCACTCCTGGGGCAGCAGAACACACTGAACTTTCAGTTTACTAAAGCACCATGCTTTCTCTTGGCTCTGAGCATTCACGGGGACTGTTACCTCTGTCTGGAATGTGGCCCACCTCCCACTTTTAGCCTCCTTCAGATCGTAGCTTGAATATCCCGGGGGCCAAGATTCCTTACTCCCAGGCAAGGTGGGTCTTCCTGGCATATATTCCTGGAGGGATCCTGCGATTCCTTGTACTCCTCAGACTCAAAGGATGTGAACAGTGAATCTTGTCTGCCAGTGTGTGAGTTCCACGGGGGGGACCCGTGTCGGCTGGCTTCTCTTGCAGCCCATGCACGTGGTATAGTGCTAAGTGAGTGCTGAGGCACTGAGTACATGAATACTTGCTGAATGAGCAGATGCATGGGTAATTTTTTTTTTCTCATGTTACTTAGCAATTTTTGTTTTATATTCTTTGAGTTATGTCCTTTGTTCATCTCTTTGGGTTACGTTAGTTTCTTTCTGAGCAATTTTTCTGAGCTTTTCCTATAGCATCGATATTAACTGTCACAATTAGGGAATCCTTCCCCCCATTTGCTGTTTTGTTCTTACCTCTGGAGAAGGACCTTCACTGCGTCTAAACAGCCATGCATTGCTGGAAGAAGAGAGTTGAGAGTCAGAGCTTTTTAGTGCAGGTATAGAACTCTTCTTTCCTCCTCTCTCTGCCCCAACCTTTTAGCTAGGACTTTCGGGAAGCAGTCATTAAATCAGGGACACTGTTACCATCCTAGAAAAATAAAAATTTAGCTGGGTAAGTGGTAACGATGATGTTTTCACTTAACAGGCACTTGGCCAACACTCGATTATCTTGTTTTTTTTGAGCACTTCCATGGTAAATTCTCAGTCCTAAACTTTCTCTTCACTTTTGTGCTGCAAATCCTTAGGGCCGGTCAGTTTTTGCCCAGGAAATGTAAAACATACTAATAATGATCCATGACAAAATAAGCAGGAATGTGATTCTCCTACTAAAGAGAACGACACTCAATAATAAAGATTTCAGCTATCTATTCTCCAGTATTTTCTGTGAATGGTTAGGTGCTGATTGTTTCTAGGGGAACTAGTCAAACAATTCATAGCAGAGAAAAGTTTTTCTATTCACTTGTAAAGATGTAAAGAATTCCTTGGTCCCTAATTGCTCTCTGTAGTTGTAATAATTGTATGCGTATTTCCTAAACTCTATCATCACAGGTATTGATGTTTTGAGAAACTAAGGCCCTGTATTTTTATTTATTTATTTATTTATTTATTTATTTATTTATTTATTTAAAGATTTTATTTATTTGACAGGCAGACAGACAGCGAGAGAGGGAACACTTGTAAAAATGTAAAGAATTCCTTGGTCCCTAATTGCTCTCTGTAGTTGTAATAATTGTATGCGTATTTCCTAAACTCTATCATCACAGGTATTGATGTTTTGAGAAACTAAGGCCCTGTATTTTTATTTATTTATTTATTTAAAGATTTTATTTATTTGACAGGCAGACAGACAGCGAGAGAGGGAACACAAGCAGGGGAAGTGGGAGAGGGAGAAGCAGGCTTCCCGCCAAGCAGGGAGCCGGATGCGGGGCTCGATCCCAGGACCCTGAGATCGTGACCTGAGCCGAAGGCAGATGCTTAACGACTGAGCCACTCAGGTGCCCCAAGGCCCTGTATTTTAATTCAATGTACTATCCAGAAGGCTAAAGATCATTTTTTAAATTTCTTGATCCGGACTCTTAGCACTGTGGTAAGTATTGCTGAGGATATTCAGAAATATTGTCTCTTTTCCTCCTTCGGGTAACAATGACAACGTAAACATGATCCTGAAAATAGCCATACCCAGTTGTTCTGTGCTCAGTGTGTGTTAAGCACTGCACCAGGGGATTTATATACAACCTGTTCCTTAAACTCTATAGCAACCTTGTGATATGGGTATCATTACCATCATTATTTTGCTGATGAGGAAATTTGCTTAAGAGGCTAAGTCCCTTGCTCAAGGTCAAAGACAGTGAAGAACAGAACGAGCTTTCCAACAAACTGGGGAGGACAGGACAGATACGAACACGAGAAAAAAGAACACATTATGTGCCAAGTTCCATTAGCTGTAGGAACAAACTATATGTTGAAATACCCTAAAGCTGCTCTTATTCCTGGCCCTCTAGTTTCCAAACCCCTCCAGCCCTGTGGGTGTCCCTAACTAGAAGGCGTTCTACAGGGCCGGGTGGGCGGGCTGCACATTCGTGCCTGCGTCCCTGCAGAGCTCCCAGCCATACCTGCCGTGTGCAGAGGAGTTCTCCCGATTTTGCTCTCTGTCTTCCAGGCAGTTGGGCAAACAGTGAGCAAGTACTGGAGGATCAGAGGGTCACCCTCTCGGCTGGCAATGTGGAGACTATTCCAGCCGTCTTTGTTCTTTAGAAGTGGGTTGGCACCATGTTCTACAAGGTCCTGGATCACCTCCAGATTCTTCCTTGTGCAGGCCATCATCAAAGGAGTCCTAAGGCCAATCAGGACAAACAGACGGAAGGGCAGCTGAGACATTAGAAGTGTGTGCCCAGGTCTTCAGAAAAGCACCTGCCCTTGGCAGAGATGGAAAACCTAGAGGACTCAAGGGTCTGGGAAGCAGGAAAACAGCATTGACTGGCAACTTCTCTGCCCGCAATGAGACACTGGGAGAAATAAGAAAGGGAAAGTGATTAGGATGTAGGTGTGCCTGCCTGCAGGAGGGGAATACTGGACAAGTTTAGACTATGGGACCAAACTGAGACAGAGTTAATCAAAACCATAGACAGTTTGTCTTGAATAATGTATTTTTAAAAAGATTTTATTTATTTATTTGAGAGAAAGAGAGAGCACAAGCAGGGGGAGTGGCAGGACAGGGAGGAGCAGGCTCCCCGCCGAGCAGGGAGCCCGACATGGGGCTTGATCCCAGGACCCCGGGATCATGACCTGAGCCGAAGGCATATGCTTAACCAACTCAGCCACCCAGGTGCCCGTGTCTTGAATAATATTTGTGTAAGAGATACTCTGCTGGACTTAACCCATTCACTTCAATCAGTAGTCATTTATGAATCAAATTGTGCTGAAAAAGGGTTAAAAAAGAACATTTGACACAGTGCCTACCCATGAGGAGCATACATTGGTGACATAAATGGAACAGTGTGGTTACAATAAGTTTCTGAACTGACTTGTGTCCACAATTATGGGAATAAACTACATTAATATCAAGGGAGGTGGCTCTATCCTTTCTCTTCTCATAAATGATCTTGGATGAGCGATTTCAGTTCCATGAGCTTCCGGTTTGTCATCTGCAAAACGAGAGAGACATAACCCTTGGAAAGCAAGGGCAGGTCTTATTTACCTCCTGATTCCTGGGGTTAGGACCCATGTCTGGCACACAGCGGGAGCTCACTATACCTAGGAGACCTCGAAGGCTGCATCTAGGATCTATCTTCTAAGATTGCTATGATATTAATTAATTACCAACACTTTTGAGGGGGGGTATGTAGCAATGAGAGTGAATGAGAAAATAAAGAGGGAGAAACCCAGATAAATGAAGGCTGGAACCTTCCAGAAGGACTTCACAGAGGGAATAAATCTTGAGCGAGGCAGGATGATTGGAAAAGCAGGGAAGGTATTGCAGAAAGCCAGAAAGGTGAGAACGGGCAAAAATTTCTCACTGCAGCTATACCTCTCACATACATACTCAAATGACCTTTGCCTCTTTAATGGATTTTTGGGGAGGGGCCAGTTCCTTACCCACAGAATTGTTTTGAGGCATGTATGAGGTAATATGTCTGTTGGAATGGTCTTTAGACCAGTTTACCAGCAGCAGAAGAAAACTGGCCTTGGGCTAAGTCATAGCCAAAGTGCAGCCCTCAAAACATAACCATACTGACTCCCTCATCCCAGCAGGCAAGATGCACTTTATTTAACTATAAATCTATCTGCTGTGGTTCATATTTATATCAGATCAGGAATCACTTGCAGGCAGGAACTTCATTATGTTATGAATCTTAGGATGTTCATCACCACATAGTGAGTACTGGAAATAATGTCTGTCTGACAAAATGCAATTGGTTTGTGTGATGGTACCTCGGAGTATCGCTCACGCAAGGCTATTCATGTGATAAAATCACATAAAGCACCACACACGCTCAAGTGTCTGTGTAACTGGTGAAATCTGATGAAGAACATGGACTGTAGTAGCAGTGTCAGTTTCTTAGTCTTGGTATTGCACATAGCTGTGTAAAATGGTAACTTTGGGGGAGTCTGGGGGAAGGGCGCACGAGGCTTCCCTGAACATTTCTTTGCAACCTTCTGTGAACCTCTATTCCAAAATAACAAATTAAAACAATGCTACTGGTAAAGTAATCATGCAGCTAGGCGAGGCTCAAGCTATAGGAAGTACAGACAATTCACTGATCGTATTCCATACTGTTTCATAAAGGAAAAGGGTTTGGAACAGAGGACTGGAACAGTTAATCCCGTAAGAGTACCCCACTGTTCACAGAGGGTAATCTGTCCTCCAGGGGGAGGCTCAGAAGCTATGGTGTCGAGGCGGAAAAGTACGCGGGAATCCATAACTCTGCGGAGAAGTGGAGGGGTGGGGGGGGGATCTTTCGGGAACCCCAGCCACCTACCAGTCGGCTTTCTTCAGGCAGTCGACCGCGGCTCCTCTGCCCAGCAGATAGCGCACGCAGTCCCGGTGGCCCTGCGAGGCAGCCTCGTGCAGGGGTCGCTTGTAGTCTCGGTTGGCGGCCTCGATGTCCATGTCCCAGGTCTCCACCAGATAGGCCAGCACGTCCCGATGCCCGAGGCGGGCGGCGCAGTGCAGTAGGGTGTCCCCGGCCGGCCCCGGGCAGCTGGCGCGCCCGGCTCCCCGCAGCTCCTCCCGCAGGGCGCACAGCCGGCCTTCCTGCACCAGCCGGTAGAGCCGCCGCGGGTCCCCCGGCGCTGCCATGGCCGTGGGCGCCGGGGGGGGAGGAGGGGGCTTGCGGGCCCCCACACCTGCCCCCAGCGGCCCCCGGGACGCCCGGACCTCCGCTGCTCTATGCGCGGGTGGTCCTCCAGCGGGCGACTCGCCTCGCGGGCCGCCGCGGACGCGCGCTCCGGGTGCGGGCCCGGCCGTGCTCACGGGCCCAAGCCTCGTTCCCAGGCTGCCGCCCGCACCGGCTGCATTTGGGGGCGCGACATCAGGTGTGAGGGGTGCTGCCGCCCAGCCGGCCCCGGGCCAGCGCTCGCTCCACGGGGCAGCAGGGTCCGCCCAGCCCCGACAGCAGCCAGCTGGGCAGCGGCGGCGGCGGAGGAGGAGGAGCCCGCGCGGGGCAGCACCCGAGAGCGGCTGGGATCCCAGCCGGGACCGCCGCCTTCCGGTCGCCAAGCAGCCGCGGGCCCTCAGGGAGGGGGTGGGGCCCCGCGCGTCCCCACCCTCAGCCCCTCCCTCACCCAACCTCAGCCCCCACCCCCCTCCGGGCCGCGACCCCTCCTCCGGTCCGCGGGCGCTCGGAGGAACTCTGGGAAAGTTTCCTCTCGCCTTCTCGGCCCCAGCGGAAGCACGGACGGGGCGGGGTCCGCTGGCGGTAGCCGCGCCCCCTGGTGTAGCGCGTTCCGATTGGGCGCTGGAGCAGTCCGTCAGCACGCCCCCTCCGTGTGCCGTTCCGATTGGGCTTTCAGGCAGTCCGTCAGCCCTGGCGGCGGGCTCTTCCCGGGGCTGCGGCTAGGGCGGAGCTGGCGGAGGAAGTCCGCGGCCTGCTCGGGCTGGAGCTGCCCTGGGGACGTGGGACTGGGAGGCTGGGCGGCCCGGGTCCTGCGGCGGCGGCGGCGGCGGCGGCGGCGGGAGGCCGGGTCCGGAGCGCCATAGTGCGTGAGGCCGCGGACGTGGCAGGGAGCGCGGGCGGGGCTCTGCCGTGTGGACACTTCACCTCTTGGGGTCCTCGGCGGGGTCCGGCCTGGCGGGGCTGGGAGCAGGTCCGTGGGGGGCGTGGGGGCCCGGGACGAGCACAACTGTGCAGGAGCTCGGGTCCGCCGCGGGCGGCCAGGCTGGAGGGGGTCGGCGGGGCGTGCATGCAGGAGGGCGAGGGGCGCCCCCACACTGCGTCCTGCGGCCGGGGAAGGGGGGCGCTGGTCGTTCCCCGTCGGTTGCAGAAGGAGTCACGGGGGACGTGGCCTCGGTGGCTGACAAGCCCGCATTTCCTTTTCTACCCTGGTGTTTTGACCTTGGGCGAGTCATTTGATTGTGTCCTCTTGCGACTCTTTCATTTGTAGGTTCCTTATCTGAATACCTCTCCTCTGAATACTAAGAAAATTAGGGTGATGGGGGAAGGCCTCTAGCTTGTCCTGTGGAGGGTACGTTGAGATCTAAGCAAGCTGAATGGGGTGATGCGAGAGATTAGGGCAGGTGCTGAATTCTTAACCAGGTCTTATTGGTACTAGTCATTCAAACCTCCTGGTGTTTTCAGTCCAAAAGTTGCTACTATTTGCCTGGCCTGGAAACGCTTATGCTTTACATTTTGCGTTGCGCTGTATGGTTTACAGAGTACGTTAATTAATTTGCAAACAGCCCTGTGAGGCAGTATTACGGGTGGGGAAATTGATGCCTCAAGAAGTTAGTGATTTCCCCATGGAGCTAGAGGTAGTGAAGTCCCCTGGAACAAAGGATGGTGGCACCTAGTAAGCGCCTGCTGGGGCCTGGCGCTGTGCTCACATAAATTAAGGGAGATAAAATGGAAGGAGACCTCTGGTATGGACCCATGCAAACAAGCGCATTTCACTAATGAGCAGATTGAATTTGGTTAATTTACTGAGTAATATGGGTAGTCACTGGAGACAGAACTGGGTCCAATATCAGCTTTGCCGAAGTTATTGTTCCCTTATATCTTGCCACTTCAGCAAAGGGTAGGCTTAAAAGTATTTTCAAATGCGTCAAGTTTTAGAACATGCCCAGCATTGCTCTTCCTGCGGCTGTTGGTTTGGTGAAAATGGAAGCTTAGGCATCTTGTAACTTCATATTTTTTGCTGCTCATGCCCCCCAGCCCCATCCTAATCACAAACGACCCCACTTTTCCTTGCCTTATGTTATGTCTCCAGTTTCCGTTTTTATTTTTTTATTTTTTAAAGATTTTATTTATTTGACAGAGAGAGCAAGAGAGGGAACACAAGCAGGGGGAATGGGAGAGGGAGAAGCAGGCTTCCTGCGGAGCAGGGAGCCCGATGCGGGGCTTGATCCCAGAACCCTGGGATCATGACCTGAGCTGAAGGCAGACGCTTAACGACTGAGCCACCCAGGCGCCCCTGGTTTCCCTGTTTTTAAAACAAAATGGGGACACATGGATGCACGATAAGAATAGTTCTTTTTTTTTTTTTTTTTAAAGATTTTATTTATTTGACAGAGAGCACAAGCAGGGGGAGCGGCAGGCAGAAGAAGAGGGAGAAGCAGGCTCCCCGAGGAGCAGGGAGCCTGATGCAGGGCTTGATCCTGGGGCCCTGGGATCATGACCTGAGCCGAAGGCAGTCGCTTAACCAACTGAACCACCCAGGCGCCCCACAATAAGAATATTTCAAATCCAGATAATTGGTCACTTACCTGGTGCCCTCAATGCAAATCCTCTCCTGTGTTCTTTAGGAATGTAGCTTCTGTATCCCCCTATAGATAACTAGATGATAATGTATACACATCTGACCATGGCCCTTGTGATTTTCTACAGCAAAAGCTTGGTGTAGAGGGGAGGAATCTGTACAGTAAGCTGACAGATGGAACTGTGCTTTGGTCTTGCTGATTTCCCAGTTGGGCTGCCCATTTCTTTTCTGCAGGCTTTTGGAATTTGTGGTCTGCTATTTAGTGTCTCATTTCTCTTGTAGTCAGTATTGGCATTGGGATTTGCTACGTGGCTGTCTTCTCTCCTTTCTCGTACGTTGTATTTCATGGTCCTGTAGCATTCAGCTGCGGTCATCGGTGTCCTGATTGTTGGCATGTTCTGTGGTCTGTGAGTGTGTGAACGCTGTTGGTATTGGTCATAGAACTGTGAGTTCAGTTTGCTGCCATCTTTTCTCTGCTGCTTCTCATGTCCCTCTATCCTTCCTAGGCGGATTTTATTTGAAAACTGAATTGGATTCTGTCTTTGCCCTTCTGGCTTGGAAATCACTTACTCCGAGAAATTTATCTCACAGCATCTCACACCTTACAGCTTCTACTGTCACTCACATGCCTTTTGAGGACCAGTCTCCTATTTCAAAGTTCTGCGTGGAGCTTAAACCGGCATCCCACAGATAACTTTAAAACAAAGCAAAACAAACAACTGTTTTCAAAACGGGGAAGCTTTCATCTTCCCTTCTAGGAAAAAGCAAGAAAAACAAAAACACTGTCTCTCTTTTACTCCTTAACGTGGTTGATGACGTGACTTCTGGGTTCCCGCTAGAAATGTCAGTTACCTTTGTCACTCCTTCTCTTTCATCGTTCTTCTCAGTCTTGTTGAAGAAGATGTGTTGGTCTTCCTGTTTCCTTCCTCCTATTTCTACTGCTGCTCAGGCCTTTCCCAACTCTTGTCTCGGGTAGGGAAATGGCTTTCTGTCGATTTTCCCGGAGGTCTCTGTGTCCGCCCATCCTCTACCCAGCTTCCAGGATGACTGTTGTGGAGTGTGAATCTGACTCTACGTAGGCCCTGCTGGTAAGCTAGATGATCCCCCGAATCGCCTACACAGTAAAGCCCACAATTTCTTTAGTGCTCTATTTAAGGACCTTTATAATCTGTGCCTTCAAATTCCTTTTCCAGCCTTCTCCCCCATCTGTGAACCTCTTGTTCTTACGAAATTCGACTTCCCACTGTACCAATGCTGTGCTATTTCTCTGTGTTTTGTACATAGTGTGTCTTTTGCCCTACTGAATCCTACTCGTCTTCTGAGGCTGAACTCTTCATAAAGTCTTTTTCAACATCCCTACTGTGTTCCCTTTACTCTCGTCTCACAGCACTGCATGCGTGCATTTGTGCAGCACAAATAGTGCCTGATGTACGGTGATTTGTGATTGTTTTGCTCGCTGCCTTATGCGCAGGCAAAATCGTTTCTGTTTTGTGGCTCTCTGTTTAGCATTCGACACCAGAGAGGAAGCCTTCACAGTGTTTATAATGAATCTGGGATATAGTGACAACTTAAAAGTGCTTGTGGAATGAATTGACAGAAGGAAAGGCCTTTCAAATATATAAAAATATACTCTAGGCTGTAAGTAACAGTCATTTTCTTATTTTCCTTTCTTTTCACTGTTCCTTCTTATCCTTGTGAGAAACCTGCACCTCCGTCCTTGTGTATTCTAATAAGTGAATGCTGTCTCTTCGGGAGGAACAGGTGTTTACGGGGTGTGAGATGATCTGAGGAAGATGAAGCCTGCGAGCCAGGCCTGTGGGATTTCTAGAGAAGCAGGATGTGGCGAGGGGAGGCACCCCTGTCAAGGGAGCTAGGACCACAGTATCTTCTTTCTGCGTTTATTTCTTGCAGTGCTAATGGGGACGCAGTATTTTGAAGTTTTTCCATTTTGAGCTTACTGTAGTTGTGATTATTTTCTTCACAGTTATGTTTTCTAAATACTCGTTATTAAGTCTTCTGTTACGACATTTCACAATGATGAAGAAAAGTGACCTAGAAATTAAGCCTGAAGTTTTCAGAGGCTGCTTTAAAGCCTGCTGGATATGGAAGGTGGAATGTTACAGGAGAAAGAACACTGCCCCTGGGGAGTCCAAACAGCTAAGTGCTGTCGCCTACAAGCCGTGTTGTGACTTGAAGCTAGCCTCCTCTGAGCCCTGGTTAAAGTGCGGCCCAGTCGTAGGATCTGGTGAGGTTCCAGTGAGGATATGAAAAGGAACTTCCGGGTTTCAAAGTCAAGGAAGAACCAAACTTCCATGGAGGGAAGCCGGGGGGCACTGCGGTGGTGCATTTGTCTGAGCGCCAGTTACACATGGAGTGGTATGTGTT